GAAAAAGTCAAAATCTATATATGATCTTATAGTTATTATAAAGTGCAATATGTTTAATATATAGAATATATAGTAATTATCTGTATTTAACTCTATTATAAGGTAAAAATCAGTCTTATATGTTCTTATAAAGGCTCTATCAGTATTATTCATTAATATAATATGGTAAATATATTTTAATAGTCTTATATGAAGAGTACATACCTTTTAATACTTATATATAAAGAGTAAAAGTATTATAATAGTATTATATTTGAAGAGAAAGACTTATATCTATTATATAATATAATAATAAGACATTTTCTATACTTATAATCTGTATGAAAGTTTTATAAATGTTTATAATAAGTAGGAGTTCTTTTTGTAAGATTACAAGCTTAATAAATATCTTAATTATCATTATAATGATTATTTTTCATAAAGGAACTATCAGTAAATACGACTCAACTTATGTAATGCTCGAGTATCACATGAAATTTTGTACTTAAAACATTTATGACGCACGTTGCATTTCACTCCTTGCCTCTGACCCCCATCTCCCGTATCTCTCTGCCCTGCCACTATGTCGTCGCTTTTGTTCTCTCCACTCTCCAGTTCAGTCGACTCACTCACAAGTGTCCTCCAGCACACTCTGGCTCTGTGCTTTCCTCTCCAATCCATTATTGCAATGCCTGTGCTGAGTCTCAGATCCTGTGTCGATGCCACCCAGCTGACTACACCGTCCTTCAACGTAAAGCGTAAGCAGCCAGTCCACTTCCTTCATAATAACCTGCACAATAGTTGCTCATCCCTCTCATCCCAACTTGTCTCCCTCCGCTGCCCTTGTATCCTTGCGCTGTCTCTCCTTCGTTGTCCGCTTTTTCTCCTTTGTCTTCCTTTTTGCATTTGCATTCGCGCATGCCGCATTGTTGACCAATGCCAAACAACGTCTTCAATAATTCACGTATGTCTTCCCACTCTGCAGCGCAAGCAACAATCGACGAGCATACACTCACGACAATGTCCATGTACGACTACTCCCAAGGTGCAATCCCCTCTCCGACCCCATGCACACTCTCCTTCCCCACCTATCATTCCATGCTTGACATCACCCTCGATGGGCCCACACCGCGTGCATTCAAATTCCCAAGTGCCGTCCATGAATCACAGAAACAGTGGCCCACCACTCACCCCTCTTAAGCCGAGTCCGTCCACACCTTCCACTTCACCCTCTCCCTTCGAGCCAGAACGTCCAAGAGATACACCTTTGCAGTCATCCGCAGCAACGACTCGGTTCACTGCACCTCCCTTTTTGAGACGTAGTCAGAGCATGCAACGCGCACGCACGGATACGGCTTCGCCTGCAGCTCAAATCAGCTCGTTCAACGCTGCGGATCTCAACCCCGGTGCACCTCTCTTCCTTGTCACACAGTCGTGGTGCATCTATCTCTTCTCTTCAAGTATCCACATACCCTAACAATACCCCTCCTAGCAAGTCGTCCTCCCAACCTGTCTCACAAGCGCAACCTCTGCAATCCGCGCAACTTCACGACGCTCACCGTACACGCAATTCAACTTGCAGGGCCGAGCGACGACCCAAGTGTAGTGACGAAGACTACATCGTTCGGCCCACGATGCATTCCTCCTTTGTGTCGCGAATGTCGTTTACGAAAGAACGAGGCGGGGGCTGTAGTTATCGCAAAAGGCAATCCTGTCGCACAACGTCAACGTCAAGCCGACCTATCCAAGACAATCTCAAATCAATCGCGTTTGTTTTCTGTGGAGGAATGTAAATACTGGGACGATCTCGCGAAGCAGTGGAAGAAAGGCACGAGGAGGTGTGGTCTTGAGCATAAGTAGTTCTCTTTTGTTAATATGTAGTTTTTGCATGTATTAGCTACAAATATATATATATATTATTTAATATATTTATATTATATTATAATGAATTAAAATATTAGATAAAACTGTAAATAGCTTATAATGTCATATAATATGTTATTTGACTTATAGAAAGTGACAAGTAAAATAGTATCTTATCAGTTTGGGGAAAGCAGTATAAGCTCTTATACATTTTCATAATATGTATTTATCTTACACTTATATTATAATAACATATAATTCTTATTACTTTCTATAATATTAATCTGACTTATTTAACCTTATTGTACCTTAGATAACATTTTCAGCTGAGGGAAAGCAGTATATGATGTTTTACATATTATTGATATTTTACATATTATATACTCATATAAGATTAAAAATGACTGGTACCTTTTTCCTGACATGGGTATTTGATAGAAAGACAATTTGTTAGGACAGGGAGTTTGGAATGACACTTGGATATATGCACATATATGCACACCCTTATATACTAGATACATTGTGCTATACTAGTAAATGAGACATAAAACACAGTGTGTCAAATACTCCCCTTCAAGCCCTAATATTCTGTTGTTAACATCAAGGACCTATAAGTTCTATTAGGTGCTTGATTTGAGGGATGTAGAGTGCTTTTGTAAGGATGTCAACATAGTTGTTCTGAATGTAACAGCAGACAAAGTCCTTTTGCAAATCAAGGTGTTTCATTCAAGCATTGAAAGTGATCTCCTCAGATTTGATGGTTTGTATTACTCCCTGATTGTTACAATAGACTGTAATGGGTGCTGATTCTGTCTGCAGTACTTCCTCAGCAAGTTGTTTGAGCCAAATGGCCTCTTGAGTTGTGTACACCAGTACTTGCAACTCTGCTTTATAAGTCAATAGTAGTACCAGGTTCTGTTGTTTGCTTGACTAAGATATTGTTTGCTTTCCTAGCTAGAATACATATTTGTTAATTGATGAGTGTCCTTCTGTCATTTGTCTGTTAGCATTACAGTACTCTTGTATAATCAATGTATTTGTGCCTCTGAGATGAAGCTAGTAGTTTGTAGTTCCTTTTAGGTACTAGAAGCAATGTTTTGCTACTTTGTAGTAGCTCATATTTGGTTATTATAGATAGTGTACTAATTGGCCTGTAATGTATGTAATATCTAGCTGAGTACAATCTGCTACATAGTATAATGATCCTACCATATTCATGTATAGTATTGTTTATATAAATTGTTTGTCATCAATTGTATTATTCATACTTGTTAAGTATGTTCTAAGCATTATAAGAGTTTGTAGTGGTTTTTCATTCTTAAGCTTAAAGTGTTGTATTATACTCTGGATATAGTGTCTGTTAGAATGTGTATTCTTAGGTTATCACACAAGTAATGAGGGCATAGACCCTGATAATGATATATATTTAGTTACTAAGTTGCTTGCTTTTATGTTATTCATTTGTCTGTATGTCTTAGACATCCAATGTATCATTATCTTGTATCTGATACTTATTGTGTATCTGATACATGTCTTGTATCGTGTATCCAATACATGTCTCATTGTTCTGTGTCTGTTCTGTTTATATGTGTATTAATCATCTTATCATTACTGTAGCGTCTGTAATTGTATCATTGATTGTAATACATGTTAACAGTCCCCTTCAAACATTTACAAGACCTATTAAGTCTGTAAGGTGTTTGATCTTTGGAACATGTAATGATTTAGTTAGGATATCTGCCCTTTGATTGTCTGTTTGAACATACTTAATATTAATAAGTTGTTCCTCAACATAACACTTA